TCTGAGTGGAGAGGGTGGAAAGGACACAAGGGATGCCCCTGCCAGGGTGGAACCAACAGCGTCTTGAGGAAAGAGCCACAGAGGAAGGAAATGCACCCCCGTGACGAGTGGGGTTGAGGAGGGACCCCGGCCACAGAGAGGACAGGGAAGGGGCCTGTTGGTGCTGGTCAGTGAAGGCGGCAGAGACATCCCCAGCAGCAAGCCAGGCCCTGGGAGCTGTGTCACCAAGCCCAGCCACAGAGAGGCCTCGCCTTGGGCTCTCAGCTGTGTCCCCACAGAGCCAGACCTGCGGCGGCGGGAACTCACAGAGCGTGATTCTACAGGACCGGATCTCAGCTGTTCTCCCAGGCCTGGCTAGCCCAACGTCTACCTCTCATGGTTGTTTTCATTTATTTCCTTTTTCTACATTCAACCTTCAAAATATTTCTATGAAGCAGGGAACTGTGTTTGCTTTTTTTAATTCCCATTTTACCAATGAAACACCCAGGCTTAGAGAGAGGGCCCTGGGATGAGTCAGCAGTGGAAGCAGGACTGACTTCCCAGCCCGCCCTCCACTTCTGCCTGGAGATCTAGACTGCGGGTAACAAGAATCCCCACAAGCGAGCCTGGAGCAGAGCCAGGGGAACGAGGTTCTGCTCTCTGCGCCACTGCTAAGGAGCTGCTGGTTCGTGGGTTAGCGCTCTCCGCCAGGCCCGCCCCTGCAATCCTGCAAGCATTTAGTCCACTGCGGGAAAGAGAAAGTGAGATGTGAGCAGATCTTTAAAAATTCTGCAGCAAGACCCATGAAAGAGGAAGGGCCTGGGAAGCTCCCTACCCCCAGTGAGGTGGAGGCTGGAAGGGAGGCTGGAGGCAGCTTCTGCAGAAGCGGAATCCTCAAGAAAAAAATCATTGACAACGTCAGTCCATTTCCACGTTCCATTCTGTGGGTTTTTAGTAAACACGTCCCATCTACAAAGGCTCCTGGACACCGGGATACGTGCTCGGCTTTCCAGGAAGCAGTCTTAGATGAGCAGAAGAGGGAAAAATAACCAAGGATGTGAACTGCCGCATCCACGTCCCGGAGGCTGCGCTCCAGGGCGCGGGGCACTCGAGGAAGGCAGCGCCAGGGGGGCCTCCTCGCGCAGCCCTGCTTTGTGGGCAGAACAGTGAAGAGTCGGGAGGTCAGTTGGATGGGATGAGGCAGGACAGCACACTCAAGTGGGAGTGCCAGGGGCATTCACTGAAAGGCAGAGAAGACCCTGAGCCTGGGGAACCTGCAAGCAGGCAGTGGAGGTGGCACAGGTGCGAAGAGCCCGTCACAAAGGCTGCCTAGGACGGCGCCCCCAACCTTTTGGCACAAGAGTCCAGTTTCATGAAAGATAATTTTTCCACGGAAAAAGGGTGGGATGGTTTCTGGATGAAACCGGTCCACCTCGGATCATCAGGCATTGGATTCTCATAAGGAGCAGGCCACCCAGATCCTCGGCAGGCACAGCTCACAGTAGGGTGTGCACTCCCGTGAGGACTGAATGCGTTCCTGAGCTGCTGATGGACAGGAGGCGGAGCGCAGGTGAGAAAGCTCCCTGGCTAGCCCACTGCTCACCCCCGCTGTGCGGCTGGGCTCCTAACAGGGCATGGCCCCGGCCTGGGGACCCCTGCTCTAGGAGATAACCCTAGCATTGGCAGCTGCTCTCAGAGAAGCTGCTGGAAGCTCTCCTGGGGGGTGAGGAGCAGTCACAGCTGAGCCCCTGGGGCCATTTCTCAACTGTGGGACAGAGTGGATGGGACCCGGGCTGAGGCCCAGGGATCGCACTGAGGGAGAAGCACAGGCCTGGACTGAGGCAGTGACGGAAGGGAGGGGTCTCAGGTGCACACAGATGGCGAGGAGGAGGAGGCAGGTCTGTGTGGCCCTCCCTGTCTCCCCACCTGCAGCTCCTGGCCCCTCAATACCATTCACAAACAGAAGGCAAGTGGAAAATGCCAGGGAGGTTCAGGAGCAGAAGATGGGAGCCGCTCCCTGCATTTCTGAGGATCACACTGAGCAGGGCCGGGCCACATGCGCCGTAGACCAACCAGGAGAGGTGGCAGCTGCGCTCAGAGTCTTCTTTTAACTTGGTCCAGCAAAACCCTGCGGCAGGCATCTCTGAGGGCTCAGCCAGCATCTTCCAGGTCCTGGGTGCACTCACACTCACCCTGAGCCTCCGCAAATTGCATTCTGGCATTCTATTCTTTCAGAAACCGTCGCCAGGCACCTGTCCTGTCTCCAGCACCATCCCCTCATGGGAATACAGAGCCGTGAACAAAAAAGTGCATTTTAATTCTTGCCCTCAAGAATATACTTTCTTCTCATTAAACTTTACAAACACAGTCCATTCACTACTTTATTCTCATTTCACAAGTGAGCAAGCAGGAATGTGTAAGTCTCTCCTAGCCAGCTCCACGTCCTGTGTGTGTTTGCACAGGGTGAGGTTGATGGGCCTCCCGGCTTCACAAAGGACTTGCCGGATGTAACCACCTGACTGCAGAGTCTACCTGGCTGCAGGAAACCCTGTGCCTCAGGCTCCGTGCATCCAGCCGCCGGAAGGGGAAAGTCACCTTAAAATCCAAGCGTCCTGTTTTAGGAGCGCCTTAACAGATCTGTGGAGAACTTCGTACTCTACAAATGAAAATCTTCAGCCCACCATGAGAGGTGGATTTACGGAGAAGCGAGGGAAGCAGAAGTGCGGGTGCCCGCTCCGGCTGGACTTGCAGGGCGTCCTGCTGCCATCTGCTGGGGAGGGAGGAGGGGGCCCAGGAGGGGTGCCCCAGAGCGGGACCACTGCCAGGCCCCATCAGGGAGGCCTGAAGAGGAGTCTATTTCCTCAGGAAACGGAGGGGTTTGTTCACTCCCACACTAAAGAGAGCTTGAAGGGCACAGGGATTTCCTATGAAAACAGCAGCAGCCAGGGTTGGAGGCCCCATCAGAGAGCAGCAGTACCAACATCTAGCACTGAATGAATGAACAAGGATAAACAGCAAAGGGAACCACGAGCCAGGACTCTCTCAGGGACTGTCGGATTCCCGGGGTTGCAGTTGGGGTGAGCAGGAGAAGCCAGGGCACCACCGTGCCCACCCTACCATGCCACCTGGCTCCCAGAGGTGTCTGTTCCTGGGGCTTCCCCAGCAAATACTGGGGATCGTCTTAGATGTTCCAGGGCTGCAAACACAGATACCACACCTCAGGCAGCGTAGAAACCAGAAATGTATTCCTCTAAGTTCTGGAGACGGGAATTCCAGGACCAGGGCTCCAGCAGTTTCGGTGTCCGGTGAGAGCTGTGCCTTGTCACTCTGTCCTCACACGGGAGAGGGGCTGAAGGGGCTCTTTGGGTCCCTGTTGTGAGGGCCCAGCTCCCATCACGAGGGCTCCTTACGCAGGGCTTCGTCACCTCCCGCAAGCCCCTCCTCCTCACACTGTCACGATGGGGGCAGGATTTCAGTGTATGGATTTTCAGGGGACACAGTCAGGCAACGGCAATGATTTTTTAGAATTTTATGAATATTCTAATATAGTTGTGAGGTGCAAACAGCACATAAAAAAATCACAGCTTAGACCTGTGGTGTGGATGAAGTACAGTGAAAATGTTTTCCCACGTCACCTGCACCAGTACAGAGTGTTTCTAGATGTATCCCTAACACGTCACCACACCACTCATGGACAGGGTCCACTAGCACTTAATATACAAGTGAAAGGGATATTACGGACATACAGAGCATAAACACGTATGTCATATACATACATGAAACATTGTAGGCCGGGCACGGTGGCTCAGGCCTGTAATCCCAGCACTTTGGGAGACCAAGGTGGGCAGATCACCTGAGGTCAGGAGTTCGAGACCAGCCTGGCCAACATGGCAAAACCCCGTCTCTACTAAAAATACAAAAATTAGCCGGGCGTAGTGGCAGATGCCTGTAATCCCAGCTTCTCACAAGGCTGAGGCAGGAGAATCACTGCACTCCAGCCTGGTCAACAGAGCGAGCCCCGTCTCAACGACAACAACGTTATATGCAGAAGTTTTTCACCTCCCCCATAGTTAAGACCAGGTGGCCCCTGGCCTTTAGCACAGTGAGGCCACCGGTTGACCCTGGGCTGGGTATGTCCAGGAGCCCCTGGGAGGGAGGGAAGGCCCCTCAGAGGCCGAGAACTCGTGAGGAAGCCGGGGCATGGACTGCGGGGAAGAGGCGCTCTGCACACAGGACATGCCATCGTTAGCACACACCCAGAAGGACAGATAGAAAAGGAGGCAGAGGCCCCTTCCTGCCCCGGAGTCCGCCAGCCGCATCTACCACATGCACTGTGGAGCGCTGGGGCCGACAAACCAGCAGCTGAGAAAAGTGAAGAGACACCAGAAGTTTGAAAACAGGCTGAATAGTTGGTGACATTAGAAAGCTGGCTAAAATGTGGGGGTGGGATAAGGTTGTTGTACCCTGCGTTCGCATCTGAGGCTGGGGGAGCAGGAGGAGCCCAGGTGACTTGCCGTGAGAGATAGCGACTGGACTCGGGGGTGAGTTCCCTCTTCTGCTCTCTCTACTTTCATACATTTGAAATTAACTTTTAAACCCACCCTTTCTAGAAGCTTGATGCTTTCCATAATAAAGAAGATTCTTAAGCAATTGTGTCCCTCTATAAAAGTTCCGAAAAGCTCCGAAAGTTCTGCAGCACAGGGCAGGATTCCTCCCATCTCAGCGCCCTACTCCCAGAACCTGCACGAGAGGCAGCCCCAGCCGAGTGCCCACGACTGGCACACAGCACGTGCGTGAGTGCACGGACACACACACATGCACGCACGTACACGAACCCCAGGTGTGCGTAACTGGTCATACTGTGCGCATCGGTCTTTTTCCTTTTTCTCAATTTCAGACAGCCTTTGCTGGCAACCGACCTAATAAAATAATGCTCTTCTATGCCTTGCTCACCACCGCTTCCCTGCAGGGCTGGGGGCATCAGACAGTTGACTAATGGCCGTCCCATGTCTCGTCCACAGCTTGTCAGGATGCCCAAGAGCCACGTCAGCGATGAAGAAGGCAAAGCTTTCTGGAGAGCAGATGCTGACCATCAAACAGCGAGCCAGCAACGGTGAGCACCCCCAGCCCTCGGGGCACACACGTCCAGGAATGCCCAGTGGGCATGGCCACACCAGCTCTGTGTCCTTTAACCATTACGGCACACTTTTCTTAGAAAGCAGAGGCAGGGATGATGCTGGCCCTATCATCTATAAAGCTAAATAACTTGAGAAGAAAGCAGCCTTTCTCAAAACCATCTCCCTGCTTCACGGACTTCACTACTCACCAGCATCACAAGCCCGAGTCCTGAGGGTCTCTCCGGCTCCCTGGAACCTCAGGGCGCCCACATTTCTGCCTGTGTCCCTCAGGCTCTCATCCTGGGTTTCTCCACCCAAAAGCAGCTTTGGGACCCCCAGGCCACAGATAACAAGGACGGCCCCCTCCCCCCTCCCCTCACTCTTGCACGTCTGGTACCTGGTTTTCTTGATTCCACCTGCAAATCTGTTTTGTTCTGAGGGTCTCTCTTGCCACCAACTGACACAGGTGTGTAAAGAATTCTGCAGAGGAGGCCGGGCGCGGTGCCTCACGCCTGTAATCGAGGCACTTTGGAGGCCAAGGCGGGCAGATCACCTGAGGTCAGGAGTTCAATACCTGACCAACATGGTGAAACCCTGCCTTTAAAAAAAAATTAAAATTAAAAATTAAAAGAATTCTGCAGAGAAAGACTGGGGGCCTCTGGAGGAGCAGGAGAGAGGAGGGCCAGTAAGGCCTTAGAAACAGCCACAGCCCCCTCATGATCCGGCGACCCTGTTTGCAAGTTCACCTCCCTGCTGAAATTCCTCTGCAGTCACAGGCAATGATCTCGGTGCTTGTGTAGTTACTCCTGTGCGTTCACAGAGCAGGGGACACCTGGGTTTCCCAGCAGAGGTGGGACAAGGCAAGGCTCGGCCCTCTTGTCTCAGGCTAAATAAGGGTCCTTCCCGCGGTCTGTTTAGCACCCTGTGTTATGTATTTTGCCCTTTTGGTCGGTGACTTTGCTGTGTCACCTGCCCCCAGATAAACAGCCAAAGTGTCTGGTTTCCCTCAGTGCAGGGGGCTGTGATGTGCCTGCAGGGAAACCATGCCTGTTAGCCAGGCTCCCTGCAGACAGGAGTCACCGTTGTGACTGGTGGCCGTGAGATCAATGTTAAGGAATCCACATTATCTATTAAATAAGTTGTCTTTAAATGGGAGCACACACAAAATAGGCATATGAGTCCATCTCACACTGCCGTGAAGAAATACCCAAGACTGTGTCATTTATAAAGGAAAGAGGATTGATGACTCACAATTCTACACGGCTGGGAGGTCGCAGGAAACCTACACTCATGGCAGAAGGGGCAGCAAACGCGTCCTACTTCACAAGGCAGCAGGAGAGAGAGGTGCAGAGTGAAGTGAGAAAAGCCCTAGTAAAACCAGAGACACTGGGGAACTCAGTATCACGAATGGCTCGGAGGTAACTGGGGGAACTGAGTATCACGAACGAACAGCACAGAGGTAACTAGGGGAACTGAGTATCACGAACAGCTCGGAGGTAACTGGGGGAACTCCGTATCACGAACAGCACAGAGGTAACTAGGAGAACTCAGTATCAGGAGTGGCACGGAGGTAACTGGGAGAACTCAGTATCAGGAGTGGCACGGAGGTAACTGGGAGAACTCAGTATCACGAACAAGCAGCACGGAGGTAACTGGGAGAACTCAGTATCACGAGCAGCATGGAGGTAACTGGGAGAACTCAGTATCACGAGCAGCATGGAGGTAACTGGGAGAACTCAGTATCACGAGCAGCATGGAGGTAACTGGGAGAACTCAGTATCACGAACAAGCAGCACGGAGGTAACCGGGAGAACTCAGTATCACAAACAAGCAGCACGGAGGTAACTGGGAGAACTCAGTATCACGAGCGGCATGGAGGTAACTGGGAGAACTCAGTATCACGAGCAGCACGGAGGTAACTGGGAGAACTCAGTATCACGAGCGGCATGGAGGTAACTGGGAGAACTCAGTATCACGAGCAGCACGGAGGTAACTGGCAGAACTCAGTATCACGAATGAACAGCACGGAGGTAACTGGGAGAACTCAGTATCACGAGCAGCATGGAGGTAACTGGGAGAACTCAGTATCACGAACAAGCAGCACGGAGGTAACTGGGAGAACTCAGTATCACGAGCGGCATGGAGGTAACTGGGAGAACTCAGTATCACGAACAGCACGGAGGTAACTGGGAGAACTCAGTATCACGAACAGCACGGAGGTAACTGGGAGAACTCAGTATCACGAATGAACAGCACGGAGGTAACTGGGAGAACTCAGTATCACGAACAGCACGGAGGTAACTGGGAGAACTCAGTATCACGAGCGGCATGGAGGTAACTGGGAGAACTCAGTATCACGAATGAACAGCACGGAGGTAACTGGGAGAACTCAGTATCACGAACAGCACGGAGGTAACTGGGAGAACTCAGTATCACAAACAGCACGGAGGTAACTGGGAGAACTCAGTATCACGAGCAGCACGGAGGTAACTGGGAGAACTCAGTATCACGAGCAGCACGGAGGTAACTGGGAGAACTCAGTATCACGAGCGGCATGGAGGTAACTGGGAGAACTCAGTATCACGAACAGCACGGAGGTAACTGGGAGAACTCAGTATCACGAACAAGCAGCACGGAGGTAACTGGGAGAACTCAGTATCACGAGCAGCACGGAGGTAACTGGGAGAACTCAGTATCACGAACAGCACGGAGGTAACTGGGAGAACTCAGTATCACGAGCAGCACGGAGGTAACTGGGAGAACTCAGTATCACGAGCAGCACGGAGGTAACTGGGAGAACTCAGTATCACGAACAGCACGGAGGTAACTGGGAGAACTCAGTATCACGAACAAGCAGCACGGAGGTAACTGGGAGAACTCAGTATCACGAGCAGCACGGAGGTAACTGGGAGAACTCAGTATCACGAACAGCACGGAGGTAACTGGGAGAACTCAGTATCACGAGCAGCACGGAGGTAACTGGGAGAACTCAGTATCACGAACGGCACGGAGGTAACTGGGAGAACTCAGTATCACGAACGGCACGGAGGTAACTGGGAGAACTCAGCATCACGAGCGGCACGGAGGTAACTGGGAGAACTCAGCATCACGAGCGGCACGGAGGTAACTGGGAGAACTCAGTATCACGAGCGGCACGGAGGTAACTGGGAGAACTCAGTATCACGAGCGGCATGGAGGTAACTGGGAGAACTCAGTATCACGAACAAGCAGCACGGAGGTAACTGGGAGAACTCAGTATCAGGAGCAGCACGGAGGTAACTGGGAGAACTCAGTATCAGGAGCAGCATGGAGGTAACTGGGAGAACTCAGTATCAGGAGCAGCATGGAGGTAACTGGGAGAACTCAGTATCACGAATGAACAGCACGGAGGTAACTGGGAGAACTCAGTATCACGAACGAGCAGCACGGAGGTAACTGGGAGAACTCAGTATCACGAACGAGTAGCATGGAGGTAACTGGGAGAACTCAGTATCAGGAACAGCACGGAGGTAACTGGGAGAACTCAGTATCACGAACGAGCAGCATGGAGGTAACTGGGAGAACTCAGTATCACGAGCAGCATGGAGGTAACTGGGAGAACTCAGTATCACGAACGAGCAGCATGGAGGTAACTGGGAGAACTCAGTATCAGGAACAGCACGGAGGTAACTGGGAGAACTCAGTATCATGAGAGGCTCGGAGGTAACTGGGAGAACTCAGTATCATGAGAGGCTCGGAGGTAACTGGGAGAACTCAGTATCATGAGAGGCTCGGAGGTAACTGGGAGAACTCAGTATCACGAATGAGCAGCACGGAGGTAACTGGGAGAACTCAGTATCACGAACGAGCAGCATGGAGGTAACTGGGAGAACTCAGTATCACGAGCAGCATGGAGGTAACTGGGAGAACTCAGTATCACGAGCAGCACGGAGGTAACTGGGAGAACTCAGTATCAGGAGCAGCACGGAGGTAACTGGGAGAACTCAGTATCAGGAGCAGCATGGAGGTAACTGGGAGAACTCAGTATCACGAGCGGCATGGAGGTAACTGGGAGAACTCAGTATCACGAATGAACAGCACGGAGGTAACTGGGAGAACTCAGTATCACGAATGAACAGCACGGAGGTAACTGGGAGAACTCAGTATCAGGAGCAGCCTGGAGGTAACTGGGAGAACTCAGTATCATGAACAAGCAGCACGGAGGTAACTGGGAGAACTCAGTATCACGAACAAGCAGCACGGAGGTAACTGGGAGAACTCAGTATCAGGAGCGGCATGGAGGTAACTGGGAGAACTCAGTATCACGAATGAACAGCACGGAGGTAACTGGGAGAACTCAGTATCACGAATGAACAGCACGGAGGTAACTGGGAGAACTCAGTATCAGGAGCAGCATGGAGGTAACTGGGAGAACTCAGTATCACGAGCGGCATGGAGGTAACTGGGAGAACTCAGTATCACGAATGAACAGCACGGAGGTAACTGGGAGAACTCAGTATCACGAATGAACAGCACGGAGGTAACTGGGAGAACTCAGTATCAGGAGCAGCATGGAGGTAACTGGGAGAACTCAGTATCACGAACAAGCAGCACGGAGGTAACTGGGAGAACTCAGTATCACGAACAAGCAGCACGGAGGTAACTGGGAGAACTCAGTATCACGAATGAACAGCACGGAGGTAACTGGGAGAACTCAGTATCACGAATGAACAGCACGGAGGTAACTGGGAGAACTCAGTATCACGAGCAGCATGGAGGTAACTGGGAGAACTCAGTATCACGAGCAGCACGGAGGTAACTGGGAGAACTCAGTATCACGAACAAGCAGCACGGAGGTAACTGGGAGAACTCAGTATCACGAATGAACAGCACGGAGGTAACTGGGAGAACTCAGTATCACGAATGAACAGCACGGAGGTAACTGGGAGAACTCAGTATCACGAGCAGCATGGAGGTAACTGGGAGAACTCAGTATCACGAGCAGCACGGAGGTAAC